GCTGACACAGCTTCCTTGGGAAACCTGTGTCAGGGCCTTAACAGCCTCACAGCCAAGAATTTCTGCCCAATATCCCATCTAACCTCACCCTCTGGCAGCAGAAAGACATTGCCCCTTGTCCTGTCCCTCCAGGCCCTCGTCCAAAGGCCCTCTCCAGCTCTCTTGCAGCCCCTTTAGGGGAGCACTGCCAGGGACTCTAAGGTCTTCCCAAGACTCTAAGGTCTTTCTTCTGCAAGCTGAACACCCCTCAGTTATCCCAGTCTGTCTCCGAGCAGAGGTGCTCCAGCCCTGAGAGCATCTCTGTGGCCTCCTGTGGACTCTCCAGCAGCCCCATGTCCTCCTGATGCTGGACCCCAGAGTTGGAGGCAGCTCTGCAGCAGGGGGGAAAAATCCCCTCTCCCCTGCTGCCAATGCTGGGGGATCAGCCCAGCACACGGGGAGTTCTAGGTGCCAGCACACACAGCTGGGACATGTTGAATGTTTCATCCCCCAGCACCCCCAAATCCTTCTGCTCAAAGCTGGCTCCGTCCCTTCAGCTCTCAGCCTTTGTGGATACTGGGGTTGACCACATAGTGCTCTGCCATACATGCTCTGAAATGCACAGAAAAGAGAGGAAACATCAGAGGGAGGAGAACAAGGCCTTCTCACTTCAGGTACTTCATTATGGACATACTGCCTGGGTAAACAGTGTCATGTAAATATTGATGCCTCATATGTGGTCTCGTAGCTGGTGGGATGTTACAGCCCAGACCTACATGGAATAGCTTGTTTGATGTGAGCAGCATGACATAGCTTGGGAAAGGTGGGGAGGATTCAGCCACATGAAAAAGAAGCTAAAAACGAGTTTGGGATTGAGGTTGGTGACTCAGAAAAGAAGACAAAACAAAACCAAATGGCAACTTAATGCCAGAAAAATTCCTCTATTCCAGAAGCAGCATTTTAAAACTCAAATACGCTTCAAAGTCAATGGGACATGGCATCCCATTGCAAGTTCCCAGCACTTGGTCCTTTTCTCAAGCACAGTCAAGCCTTTGTTTTGAGTTTGGAGGAAAAAAAAGTGACAAACCACACTATTTGGAGACTCTTGGAACTTGCTGCCTTCCTGCATGCAGGGATGCTGTTTGAAGGGTAGACCTTGCATTTGGCATGTCTATATTTGTGCATGTGTAACAAAAGAGAAACACAATCAGTTTTCACATTGATTTTGATAATTTTACTTTCTACAAACAATCCTCTCAGGCCATTATCTCAGAGGAATTGCCTTGAGTACATCAGTTTAAACAGGGAGAGGCATTTTCACCAGCACCAACAACCTCTCTTGGAGAAGATATGCTTCGTGTTTCCCCATATCAACCCCTTGCTCCACATCCATATATGCTTCCTAGCAAAGCTCAACCACTTTGCAATCCAGGAGATTGAGTTATTATTGCAGTGATGAACTTTACTCCACATTAAAAATCTTCCCCTGTTTAGTGACTACTACTGGGGCCAGTGCTGTTACGTTGCCCTGGCTTCTACAATTGCTTTGGGCAAGCTCAGGTAGATCCATAATTGGCAGTGTCACAGAGTAATACCTTCCTTCATATAAACTAAAAGTTAATTTTCTCCTGGGGCAGAGACTTTTCCAGGACTTTAAATCACATCCACCTTGTTTTGTCTCTCCTGCCTTTATCATTTCCTCAGCAAAATATCCATCTGTCCATCCCCTCTGGCTCCACAGGTATCCAGCAAGCCAGGGGGAAATAATCCAGCAAAATGAAGTCATAGGCTCGATCTGGCCATGGGTCTCCCTTCCCCACCTTCCCCCAGTAATATGTTTTGTGATGTGGATTTCTGTCGACAGAGCGAGACGCCTGACTCTCTCCTCCTGATGAACATATCCCATGAGGACAATGATGGAGTTCCTGTGAAATTTTTACCACTGACCTTTTCTCTACTCTGGAGCAGGAATGCATCTCACAGTGAAGGCTGGGGACAGCAGAGAGTGTGTTATAATCCTGGAAAATGTGACTCTGTCTTTGTGGAATGCCATTTCCCGCTCCCCCCTCCCCTTCCCTTCTCTTTCGCCCCTCCCTGAGAAAAATGTAGCACAGAAACATTGAAAATTTAAAGCAAAAAATTGCCACCTCCTCCTCCCCTCCCTTTCTCAGCTCTGTCTGAGCAAGCAGCCAAGCTGTTAAATGTTTTTACCTGCTGTGTCCAAGTCCAAAGTTAAATAATGTGTGAATGAATGTGGAAGGAAAAGAAGAGGCAGCGAGGGAGCACTGGAGAGAGCCCCTCTTACAACAAGATAATTGCTACATTATGAGAAACAAATAATATGCTGCTCTTCTCCAGGACTGTGTCTGTGACATCCTGACAGGTACATCTGAAGTTAATTATGTGCCTTTTGTTGAATTTTGCCCTGCTCCTGGGGCTGGATCCTGCGAACATGAGTTCCAAAGCATCTCACCCTTGCAGCCAGTGCTCATTTTTCAGAGGTTCAGAGTAGGTTTCAGCAGGGTCAGTTGCCTTTCTGTGAGCCATCATAGCTACAAAAATGCCTTTGCCAAGAGATTGGGATTTCCCAACCAGCTGTGCATGGCAAGGTGGATGCTGGAGTTGTGGTACCTGCCTTTCACTCATGCCCAGAAAGAGAAATATATGACTCCTGCCAACAGGAAAACAGTGTATTATTCTTTCTACTTACAGAGTGCAGTTGCCACATCTTTTCTTCCTATGGCTTGTTTGTTGATCCTTGATGTTGGAAAGCTTTTGCTCAAACAATGCATTCTCCTTTACATAGAGATGTGCAGGTTTAACCCTGCACTTTTCCACTGTTGCTGAATGTCCTTCACTGCATCCTGAGTCCAGCAGTCCCTACTTCTGCATGTATTCCACAGGCTCACCCAACCCACCTTTGTCCATTTAATGGAATGTCTTGGGTGCCTAAGAGTTGTTTTTAGGTGCTAGTAGTTGAGGCAATGTTGTACATGAAAGGGTTCTCAGTTCCTTCTGGGAACTTCAGTTCTTCTTCTCACCTGCATCAGCAATCAGATGTCTTTAGTTTGGAGAGTTTCTTGGAGAGCAGTTCATCTATCTTCTCTCAACGCTGCATGTCAGAGAAAATGTGTGTCAATGTCCCTCTTTCTATGTTGACTTCAAGGTAAGCTAGACATGACTAGTTCAAGCAAGGGGACATGATGATGACTGCATTTGGTCAGATGTCTCTGATATGGCGCACTCACTAAGGGTGCTAATTTAGTTTCCCCTTTGCTTTAATGTTGGTTTTGTTGTGGTTCACGTTCAAAGAGATGAGGAATTTGATGAGTGGAGTAGTGATGTGGGTTTTCCTTCAAAGTCTTTCCGCAGACCTGGATTTGCCACGTTGCAGTTTCTTAAAGGTTGGGAGCAAGGAGGAAAAGCTGTATGTGCAAGGTGAAAAAGGGACAATGCTTCTTTCACCTGCTCATAATACATGGGATGAACCTGGAGCCTTCATGGCTGACCCAGCAAAAGGGTTTGTCTTCCACTGCTGACCAGGAGAACACCAGAAGATGAGCTTGAGACCATCCTGATTGTTTACTCCCCTGCCACATACCCACCCTGAAGTGCATTTACTCAAGAGTCCTCATGGGCAGTCATATCTGTCTGACCCTATTTCAGCCTTGCTGATCCCATGCACTATCCCAACAGGCTTCACACCCTCAAACATTGGTTTCCTGCTAAAAAACATCACTCCAGTGAGCACACCCCACATATTATTGCAGACAGTTTAGGCTTGGCCAAAACACACAAAACAGTTCTGTTGTCTTAGAGCCAGAGGGGCAACACCTGAGCTGGGAGAAGCCATGTGCTCTCTAGAGGGTTGTGCTCAAGACAGGGACAGCCCTGAGCAATGTAGCACTGGTCAGTACCCCTTGGTCTCAGGGTCAGGGACCCTCACTAGACTTTGTTATTTGGTAGTATAGGCGTAGCTAAGAATTCAACTGCTGGGAGCTTCTGTGTCTCTTTACATGGCCTTCACCCATACACCAACATTAACCACAGCTCTTTGGTGAAGGTGTCTGGCTATATCCACACCACCAGGCTATGCAGAGTGAAAATGTGTTGATGACTCGCCGTTCACAGTTCAGACAGCTTTTTTTTTTATTAGTATTAGTTATAGCCTGGTCCTGTGGCCCAGCATGTGCTGACCTGGAGCGGTGCTCACGTGGATTGGTGCTCACCTGGAGCAGGTCTTTGGTTTAGGTTTGTTGTGAACTGAAACATGAATGCAGATGCAGATCCCTCCCTTAGAGAAATGTGATGGTGAAGACCATGAAGAGCTCTGCCCCACAGGCCCATGTTCTTTGACTTTTGATGCCACTTTGAGGTTCAAATGAAATTTGAAACTTGAAAGCAAACCTCATCCCAAAGCTTCACAGAAGCAGCTCACCATTGCAGCCAGAGTGAGGCCACAAGCTGTTTACATGGGATGGGGTACCTTGCTCTGCTCCTTTTCTGGCACTCAGAAAGAGCCTCATCTCCATCTAAAATCCCAAGTCCAGGTGTTCTTTGTTTCCCCAGAGTTTTGCTTTTTTGTTTGCAACCCTCTAATAATGACATTACTATTCTCCTGGTAATCTTCATTGATACAAATCACAGAGTAAGAGATGATTTGGGCTGGAAGGGACTTTAAAGGTCATCCAGTTCCACACCCTGCCATTGGCCGGGCACCTTCCACTAGCCCAGGTTTCTCTAAGATATGTCCAACCTTGCCTGGAACACTTTCAGGGATGGGGCTGACACAGCTTCTCTGGGCAATCTGTGCAAAGGTCTCAACACCCTCATGGCTAAGAATTTCTCCCCAATATTCCATCTAACCTCATGCTCTGTCAGTGAGGCATTGCCCCTTGTCCTGTCCCTCCAGGCCCTTGTAAATAGTTTCTCTCCATCTTTCTTGCAGGCACTCTTCAGTTACTGGAAGGCCACAATTACATTTCCCTGGAGCCTTCTTTTCTCCAGGGAGAGCACTCCCAGCTCTCCCAGTCTGTCTCCAGAGCAGAGGTGCTCCAGCCCTCAGAGCATCTCTGTGGCCTCCTGTGGACTCTCCTCAACAGCTTCATGGCCTTCTGATGCTGGGGACTGTTGCTGTTGACCTCACTAAAGGAAGAAGAGACACATTTTCATGGAACAAAAGAAGGTACAGGTTTATTCCTGCATCCCTTTATATAGAGTTTTACAAAATTTCTCATGTCTATCCCCCACTGGTCAGTAACAAGCTGTTACCCCATAGCGATTGGTCACTCAATCCCCAAGTCTGTACGTGCAGGAAAAAGTTTGTTTTGAGATACTGTTTTCATTTTTCTACCTGACAGTTTGAAACAGCATATACAGGTGGCTACTGTTTGTCTCAGAGTTCTTTCTCAGGGAAAGCAGGTTGTTTTTCACAGTCCTAGAGCTCTTTCTCAAGGAAAACAAGTTGCTTTTCACCATTGCAGGACTCTGTTCTCGCGAAGAGCTGTTAGCTTTCTCATGGCTTATGTCAGCTCAAGTTAGAATTTTGCCTGTGAGGCTTCTATGGCCTGTTGTTTCACCACCATAGGGGACCCCAGAGCTGGAGGCAGATCTGAAGGTGGGGTCTCACCTGAGTGGAGCAGAGGGGCAGGATCCACCCCACCTCCTACAGCCCCCCTCCTCGACTTCCCAAGATGTGGGACCAATTCAGGATGTTTGAATTAATTTCTCTTATATATTTTTTTCTGAGGATAAGTTTTGGTGAGTACCTTCAGCTATTACTTAAAGGTATGTTACAGATTTTCTACGATCAGCATTTTCTGGTTTTCTAACTTGGCTGAAAAGCTTCCGCAAAGAAAACAATAAATTTGGAGTAAATAAATGTTGCCATACACCCCGAAACAAATTTATGATCTGGATAGCCTTAAGACTTCTAAATAAAGACCACATGCATTTTTTTTTTCAGGCATTTTATTTGGCATGTGTTCCTGGAAGACCAGGGCTCAGTGGTGGGGTTAGGAACTGACTAAACAAAACCTGTAGTCATGCTTAGGAGATTGCCAACATTTTTAAGGCTTTTCGAGAAAACACCAAACAAATTAGTTTGAAATTAAGTTGAAGATACTTTCTCAACATCTTTTTCCTCACCAGAGGCAAATACTTTTGACCTTTTATTGTTCACTGATAGAAAGCTAGGGAACTCATTTGATATTCACTCCTCTGAGTAGACCTGCCTCTAGCCTACCATACACTTTTAATACTAGTCCTAAAAAGAGTCCAGGTACAGTTCTAGGTACTGGAGGGATTTCAGAAATGCTTTTGTGCTGCATGCCAAAATGCTAAGAGCAGGGAGAGATTGTGTCATCAGTTTTCAGTCAAACCCCTCTGTGCCTCTTTCTAAGTTGCCAAAAAAGTTATAGATAAAATAATGAGCAAAGACTTTCCATACAGCTTAAAAAATGGGATTTCTCTCCACAATGGTTGTAGGTGGTTTGGGGTGTTGTGATGAAGGACCTGGTCCTGTCTGGCTTCATATAACAGCGGCAAGAGGAGGAGTATACTTTTGCTTGGCTTAGCTTGCACATTTGCTCTGTTTTGCACCAAATTTGGTCATCATATTTTACAATTCTACTCCAAGCAGGAAATCTAGATTATGGTTCAGTGACTGCCTTAATTTTTACAGACAAATCATGATCTTTATTGGTGGAATTATGAGCGAGCTGGATCTTACTGTCTTTGTGTAATGAGGCCAATATATTGCTACTAGCGTGATGTTTTAAATTTCATGTAACAAAGGACAAAGGTAGTTTTCTTCATGCTTTCCTTCTTCCTCTCCCTCTCACTCTCCCTCTCTCTTTTCATCTTTTCTTTCTTCCTTCTCATTTTTCCCCTACTCTTTTTCCTTCCTTTCTTCCTTTTCTGTTTTGCTTTTTCCAAAACAGAGATCCGAATTTCTAGAATTCTCTTGCAGTGCTTGTGATTATGCTAGTCTGAAATGGGAAAAGCCTATTCAAGACCCCTGCAGAGCAATGGTTTTGTAGGGACTGCACTGTCCATCACCTTTAGAGGAAGCAGAGCCAACTGAATTAAGCATCGACTTTCTTGAATGATGGAGAAGGGTGAGGCAAATCAAAACTTTTGTGGGCAAGGTTTCATGGTTAGGGTTGTATGGGACCAACCATCACCTAAAACACAGCAGCTTCCAACTAAAGTGCCAGTTCTGACCTCAGCTCCAGGGCTCCCAATTACCCTTTGGAGCATCTTCTCTCCCTCCACTGACTGTGGAAGTTCCAAACTATCTTAGACAATTACTCTTAAGTGCTTTAAATTGTCTGGTGTGAATAACCCCTGTTGCTTTATTTCCATCCAGGTTCTATTGGAATCCAAACAGGAAAGTCAAAGAGAGGAATATGGACATGGGGTGAAATCATGTGCCTTGCAACAAATTATTTAGCGGTGATAAGCTCCAGTAGGAGCACATCTGATTTCTCAGATCCTGGGATGGGTTGGCAGCATGAGAAGCAGGAGCCATGCTTTATCTATAAACAGTGCAGTATTATAGTGGTATCACTGTAGCACAATAAACATTGAGTCCCATGATACCAGTTTCACAGTCTCCATACAGACCAAAGCCTTGCTTTAATATTACTTGCACTTAATCTTCAGTTTGTAATATTTATTTAATTTCTTCTTGTTAAGAACCCCAGAGGAAGGATAGGCTCTAAGAGTCTAAGCTCTCCTGGATTGCAGTTCTAAACTATTAATCTGTCATGTCAGCATATTTTATTAATACTGTTTTCCTGTGTACAATTGGTGGAATACATCATAAGTCACTTACCATCTGCTGTATAACTGTGTTGTAAAGTGTCTTTCTTCCATAGATTATTGCTTTGATAGATTAGAGTTTTGTACAGTCGTGATACCTCATCCCATCAATTTTAATCTCTCAGGAGGACATTCATGGCTGAAGTATCTGCTCATTGCAGAAGTCTTTAATGACCTCTCACTGTGTCCCCACAGGTTAGGGAAGTGCTATTATGCTTTCTTGCCAGATGAGAACACGTATCCAGGTTTTGTGCTGCATTGCTTCAATGAAGTGTGCTTTCTCCTTCTCTTCCACCCCTTCCGTTCCAGGCAAAGGGGAGAGGTAAGCAGGTCTAGGAGGGAACATCCTTTTCTCCAAATTGAATTGGGGATGGATCGGTGTTTGGATGCTTTCCTAGGAGTCCCTTGTAGCATCCTAGGTACTGAGCCATCTGTTGTGTCCTTTGGAGCCTGAACATGTCTACACCATCAACTTTTACAGGCAGAGCTGCATGAGTGCCATGGGTGACCTACAGACCATCAAAGAGAAGCAGCAACACCCAGGGAAGAAAAGCTTACTTGATGGATTCTTAAATATAAAGGAGGGAGGGAAGGGAAGGTGCGGGAAGGGAAGGTGCGGGAAGGTGCGGGAAGGTGCGGGAAGGTGCGGGAAGGGAAGGTGCGGGAAGGTGCGGGAAGGGAAGGTGCGGGAAGGGAAGGTGCGGGAAGGGAAGGTGCGGGAAGGTGCGGGAAGGTGCGGGAAGGTGCGGGAAGGGAAGGTGCGGGAAGGGAAGGGAAGGTGCGGGAAGGGAAGGGAAGGTGCGG